TCTCCTGGCCTCCTCTCTTCGTTTCGCTTACGATACTACTAGGGAGGATGTCTTTAAGTGGTTTTTATTAACTTGTCAGTACGAAAACGGCTTTTCCTTGGCCCATGGGCTTAAGTAAAATTTTAATATCAAATAACATACTTGTGACGGAAAACATGTATCATCCATCACATTTTAATGCAAAGACCAAAACTACTTGATACTCTATATACCAATAAGCAAATCTCTTGAAATGAAAAGTTCAGTTTGCTCTAATTCAACTTTTCTTTTTACGATAACTTCACAGTGAGCAGAAAATCGACTGATCTCATCACGTAAATGCTGATTAATTTTTTATTTTACAGAGTCTCCAATGGATGACGAAATTGCGATGGGAGAGGACAAGAGTTGTGTAGTGAAAAACGATGGCGGAAGAAACAATTATGTCATCTATCTGACCAATGAGCACGACTTTACTCATACGATAATTGATGAATCAGAAACACTCGGGCAAATTTACCTCGTTAAGAAGACAAAACATGGTAACGGATATTATAAGATTTCCCCTGACGATATTGGTTACGATGAGGAAACGCAAACCATAGTGATCTTCATGAAAGACAATAATGGTCTGAGGCATACGTTCACTGGGAGGATTATTATCAAACGAACAAAACCAGACGATGTTAAAGAGATGAGGCTTTATCTGGCTGACGCCGAAGGCCAACCACAAGTTAAATGCAACATTAAAAGCTTAGATGATGAAAACCTTGACTGTTCGTTGAGTTATACACTGGGGCATACCTCGATTAACAGAGGAATTGGAAGTCGAAATCACGAATGGTATATTGATGATCGACCTGTGCCAAGCGTCCCGTTTCATTATTATCTGGATACCAATTTAAAAGCTGATCCAATTCCTGGCCTTTGTGGAGACTTTGTTATCTCGTTTGGTTCTTTTAGAGGGGATCGTCCTTCTAGTGGAAGTAAGGAATTCTCTCTGCAACTACCAAAAAATTCCTTTATCGCCATTGATGATGAATTGATGGACTGGCTTAAAGACTGGCGGGCACAATATCTTGTCTACTATCTGAGGTCAGAAAAGAAGCTGGTGTACGAACATCGTGTGGGTGATTTAACAGATGTATCGTACACAGTAAAAATTCATGTTCCAGAAGCAAAACGCATTGTATTCGGGACAGCTGGAAATCATCAACTTCTTTTAGATCTGAAGCACGATGATAGGCCATCAGTAAATTTGGGCAGTGAATATCTGGGTTTCACTTCAAGACCACTTGATGATTACACATTTACAGGGAATTTCGCTGATGCAAGCCCGCAGCCCAAACAACTTGTTATTGGAGTCCCTGCGAAAAAGGCTACACAGAAAAGATGGAAAATAGTGTTTGGCAAAGCCAAAACGTACGCTGGAGAAAAACTAGAAACAGAAAACCGAGAAGCAACAGGCGATTACTCAGAAAATGCATTGATTGTGAGTGATACTCTTTGGGCGTACCTTTCAAGAGATGGAAATGAGGTGCGTATAATCTTTAGACCGTCTAAAAGAAAGGAAAACAGCTGGAAGATTACAGTCAAGAAAGGGTCGCAAAGAATCCACCAAGCTCGAGTTGATGGGGCAAATACCCTTGCTTACCATGAGGGATTGGTGAGAAGCAACCTTTATGACCTTGTGAATGGAGAAAAGAGAGAGTTTGATCTTTATGAAGTCTGGAAGGAAGAAATGGAGACCCTTCAGAGGGATATCATTGATGAAGCTAACAGGTGCCGATAAATAAGATCCACTTAGACCAAGATAAAAATGATGACGAAGCTTTGGAATTACAAAATAACTGTACTTTTAGCCAACAACAATCATTGATGATGAGAGAACAAAAGCACAATTTAACATCCAAGCTAACAGGTGCCGATAAATAAGATCCACTCAGACTAAGGGAAAAATGATGACGAAGCTTTGGAATTACTTTTAGCGAATATTACTGATGAGTGAACGAAAGCACAATTTAATATCCAAAAAAATATATATCGTATGAACTTTTGGCGAAATCACAAATCAGAATTACAGAGAACACTTTGGAGCAAATGGAATAATAACAATGGATCTCAATGATTCTGTAGTCAATCTCAAGTGTCATGGAGATGTTACATGAGTTCAATAAAGTATTTGAAATAACTGGTCAACCTTACAATCCAATTAGCTTTCAGAAGTGTGATTACTCAGACCAAATTGCACTCCACTCAGTTCAATTATCCTTATTAACATGAATTATGAATTGGTTATTGTTTATGTTTTGAAACGAGTTTTCACTATCGATTTTTATTGAGTGTTACAAAAAAGGTATTGTTAAAATATTACAATCCAAGCAACGGAAACTTCAACTTAGATTTGTTACTTAGATCTGATTAATGTTTTAAATTAAAGGGATATTTTTTCGTGTTTACTGCATCATAGATTAGTTAAGGTCAAACGAATATTTCATCAGGATGTAAAGGTCGCGTAACTCAAAGATCTCTTTAAAGTTGTAATACTTTGTTTAGTTTTACAGCAACTTGAACGTTTTCAAATAAACGACAACATTCTCTTGAAATCGGTGTGAAACTGATTTAATGTTTCCGTGGCAACCCTACCCCAATAAGAATATTGCATAGTTTGATATTTTTGACTTCAACGTAAGCTGACCTTGAAATCTGATAATTCTCAGGCGTCTTTTCCACATAATGTATTTAAAATTTATTCCAGAATTTGCTTATCATATAAGTAGTTTTAACTACATACATTAAAATCGATGGAAAAGTTAAGTCAGTGACCGTCGATCAGTTATTCGACACTTGCCACATTCTGTAGATCGACAACTTTTCATGATTTTCTTATTGTAACCTGGCCGTTGATAATGTAAAAATTTTATATGCAGGCGAATACTCTGAAATTGCTGTTAATTGCTCTCCTCGTGTTAAATTAATGAATTGACAGCCCAATTAAGCTTTAAGGCAAAATTGTAGAAAGAAAATAATTTTGCGACAGTAAACACCGCGGAAGGTCCAATGCCAAGCGTTATTTTGCTCCAAGCAGCCGGATTTTCTGGTCACTATAAAAAGAAGGTGCCATAAAGAGATTAAGAGAGAGGGTTGTAATCTACCATGTAGTAAAGTTCGTAACGAATAAAAGCAGTTAAAGAACAAAGAAACCTCATCCTTTTATCGAAGAACCTGCTAGCCGGCCACAAAAATGTTCCTTCACAAAAGTGCTTCGCTTCATTCATGCCCGTTAATTGTAATTTCTGCACGTCTGATGTATTCCGTTTATCATCACATACACAACTTAAGCAAAGAGTAAAATGAGTTTAGTGAAGGAATTCACATTTATCTAGGATACTCAATAAAATGATCGGTAATTCTATGCTTGTAATTCTTGCTGGTTACTACTGGATATGATTAACAATGTGGTTATCTTGGGCACATAGCGTGTCTTCCCCCGTCTACAGGCAACGAGGCACCCGTCATGTATGACGCATCACTTGACGCCAGAAAAGCGATCACGCTTGCAACTTCCTCCACATTTCCCGGCCGGCCCAAGGCGTGAGTTTCTTTACATCGTTCTAGAAACTAAAGCAAAAATGGTAACTCTTAGCGAAATCCTAGATATTAATTGGAAATTATTCGTGGAAGACTCAAAGGTGTTATCACATTTCGCCTGGTTTATTTCAAGTATGCTTCTATGTTTATAATAGCAACTAAAGAGGGCCTAAAAAAACGGCCTTCAGGACCTTAAAAACGCTTCTACAAATTCTTAAAGAAAAGAGCGTTACAGTGCGTCTTGCTATAAATTCATAAATTGCCACTGCAAAATTTGCTCCTCATACTTTTAAAATTTATTAAATTGAACGAAACACAAAACAATATAACGACGAGAGTATAAAAGTCTCCCAAGTCCCCGACCCTCCCCTGATAAACCAGGAAAGTAAAGAAAAAAAAAAGGAACAGGGTTAAAAGAGATCCCAAATACTCGATACGATTGGATACATTTCAGTTGAATTCTAGGTTTGGCCAAAAAAAAAAAAAAAGAAATTGGATTTGAAAGATTGTACAATACAGTCACATCGTCCTAGTACGGACACACAAGGTACAGAGACATCCATACAGCGATTTTCATATGACCTTGAAATGAAAACGCGCGAACAAAACAGAAACAACAAACGAACGGAAATAAAGCGATTTGATTGGTTTATCGAACGGATTCAAACGCACGTGGCTTTTGCTTGGTTAAGCGAACGCTCGGGTGAAAAAACTTCATGCCCGAGAACTTTCTAGAAATCAATCGGTACTTCGCTTTGACGTCATACTGCAACATGATTGGCCATATTAGGGTTTTCTTTGCGGGAAAATAAGAGTCCATGTTTTGATCTTTTCAACCATTGGCTGATAAAACAAATAACACTTACCGAGACCATTTTTCAAGGTCATAGGAAAATCGCTTTATCATAAAAACAGAAGATGTATTCCATCTGTAGGACTAAGAAAACTCATGTCTGTTATACATGTTTATACAATGATGTGAATGCTACGCGCGCTGTGATTGGTCGTTGCCCATGATCTATTAGAGTACAGATACATCGAGGACGTCATGGGAAACTTGTTTTCTTTGTTTTGTTCAACATGGCACGCGGTTTTGAAAATGTTTGTGAGAATATTTCGGATTGAGGCAAGTGAAAGCTTCGGAAAAAGTTTAGCAGGAGCTATTTACAAAGAAGCTATTGACTACTTGACAATACCATAACTACAAGAAATCTTCACAACAGTTGCCATCGTGTGTCTTCGCTACGAGAGACTCGCTGTTTTGCAAAATGTTTTCGCTATTATTCTTCTTTGAGCAAGAAAAGACGGTGAAAAACTTTTCGACGAAACTGTACACAAGTAAGATAAAGAAGAAGCTAAGATGAAAAGTTGGGTTTGGGACTTAAAAAATGCCTAAACTAGCACAAATCATCAAAAGGTCAAGCGGTTCGAGGCAGGTATGTGTATCGGTCTTTTTCTTTTCTGATCATTGTATAAAACAAATAGATTCCATGTTGCCGTGGGTCTGTTCAGTAATAGATCACAGAGGACGTCAAAATGTGGTAAAAACATCAGTGACACACTCGCCTGCGGATCGTGTGCCACTTCTTTGTTTTACGACATTTTGACGTCATCTGTGATCTATTACTGAACAGACGCACGGCAACATGGAATCTATTTGTTAAATAGATGCATCCGTATTATGGAGGTTTGACTGTATTATAAAGATCATGGAGCGCACTTTAAGAAAATCAGTGGTCCTCGAAATTGCTTTCCTAGCGAGTCTGGGCAGTAAACCATACGTTAAACAGCAGACAAAAGTTTAGTTGTCAGGGCAGGCAAAATTGAAAACGGCTTTAAGGTCTCGGTAAATGAAAATTTTATTACATTGCTCGATTTTGTTTTTTTTGGATTTTTGGCATGAGTGGGTCCTAAATTTTATTTTGGCAGAAAAAGAAAATCAGAAAGTGCTTTTTAACCGTTCTAAAATGAGCCTTTTCTGCGCTAACCAGCCAAGCGTGGACCTCGCGCTAAATCTTTAGAGCTGATTTTCTCTCACTCTATTTTAGACGCAAAAATCAAAATTCTCCGACCTCCAGTCGGGACAGGTTTTAAGCTATCGCTTTGAAACTTTCAGATATGATGGATAATGATATAGACTCAAAAAGGGTGTGAGGAATTTTCCGATTTCCCTTTGTAACTCATTTTATGTCAGTTTCTTTACGTAAATCGCGCTCGAGATTCGACTTTTTAGTTTGAAATGCAATAATTCCGCTAATACGAGACATATGCAAATTTCCTCACACCCTTTTTTAGGTCTTTTATCTGTCAATCAGACGCAATAAAAAGGAAGTGAATATTTAACAACGCGAAAGGGCTGGAGCTTCAGCAGTAAACTCGATACCTCTGAGTTCGAGAGCAAAAAACTTAAGCGCCTTTTGAAATTCGATAAAATAAAATCTTTTATAAGGTAATTTAGTCTTTTAGCTTTAATTTGATATATAACTTGCCTTTGTAGCGAAAATACTCGCGCGACTAGAATTTTTTTCTGTGGGCACCTCGTTTTCCTTTACCGAGACCTTAAACAGACTTCCCTTTGGTAACGCTTAAGTTTATGTTTTAGCTCTCGCATTTCCTCGTTTAATGAGGCTTTCAAGAGAGGTCAACACACCTTTTGATATTCTTCCTCGTTCATGCCTCCACGTTTGTGTATTTCAGTAGTGATCACTCCAGGGCTAAACGAAAAAGACGGAACTGAGAACAACAAATATATTGCCGCCATAAAAACGTCATCTATTTATCTTTGTTTCGAGATATCTCCGAGAGAGAACCTTAAGAAAAAAAAATGGTTGTCTTACATCACTATTTTTCCTGAAAAGAAAAAGAAAAGCTTACTTTGACATGAGGTTTTGGATATCTGCAGTTTCATCGGAACGCGTTTCATCATTTGGACGTCAAACTCCCCTAAACATATCCGCTAACTTCAATTAAGTAACGAAAAAGGAGAATAATTGTGAAAGTGATGATAACGACGGTCATCACGACGCGGAAGATGATGATGATGATGACGACGACAACTTGCCTAGTTCCTAGGCCTCTTTATTCCGCGCGGCCAAAGCGTTTCGGGTCACGTGGTCCAAGCGAAATTTAGAGGTATAGAGAGAAATCTTCAAAAGTGAGACAAAAGCTCAAATCATTGGTTTACAAGTAGCCTGAGTATCAGGCGTTTCTGGGGAAAAGGGGAAAAATGGAAGTGAAAAAGGAAGAGAGGTGAAGAAACGAGAAACGAGAAACGCCTGACACAGATGCTTTTACTGGAGCCTTCCACCCTCACACAGCATGATTCGATACCATCCAATCAAAATCACTTCCGCTCATTGGGTTGTCAGCTTTACGTGTCAAAAAGCTCGCCTGAAATAAACCTTACTTAACGGTCGGGCCGAGCTCCGGTGCTTGTGTTGCTACGATTTCGCTTTTTTCTGAAACCTCCAATGAGGAGTTTTCGAATACTTGTAATGTAGAACCTGCCGTTTATGAGGAATTATAACAGGGTTTAGGAATTGTGCTAGTGTAAGAACGCCAACGCTATGTTTGTAAACAAACGTGTGTCCGGAAAATTGTAAATTGCTTTTGTTTACAGAGTTAAATCAGGCGCTTGTCTGGCAGCTAAAAAGCTGGTGTTATCCCTCGTATTCTCGGGTGGTTGAAAGGAGCTGTAAGAATATATAGGAAGGTGCGATAGTGACACACCTATGACTAGAAATTATCAAGCGGCAGCAGATTCCACCACTTCACAGAGAGCTCGTGAAAGCTGTTACAAGTTCAAAACAAGTGAGAGCCTATAGCAAAGGTCAATCCCGCTGGCTAAATATGATGGCGCCCGCTTGAGCTTAAGACATTTCAAAAGTGAGAAGATTTTGGAAGAGGAAGCGAACGAATTCCAATCACGTACGTTATCGTAACCGCAACAAGCAAAGTCAAGCTTTTTAAAAGCATTGGTGCTGTCGGCTATCCCCGCGGCTATCTCAATACATGGCTACCTCGCTCTATTTTCATTTACAGTAATAATACCCTTTTAACGGCAGGATGTTGTAAATCTGAACTTAGATATCTGAAACACTGATATCGTCTTCTTTGTCCCGGTCTTGTGAAACCAATACTTGGACATAGTTTCGGCCGAAGATGGTATATGAGGCTCTTCCTTACTTCGAGTACATGTTTCCTTTAAACTACGAGGCCTTGAAAACACAATTCTTGCTCGGGTTTTATTTTTATTCCAGGAAAGAACTTAGGAGCGCCCTCTAGAGCCTTTTTGAATTCCTCTCTGCGTCTCTGTCTGTAAAAGCATCACATACCGGTAACATGAAATCAAAACATCTATGAAAAATTTCAATGAACGTCTCCTTGCCGATCGCTCTTGCGGTCGGTGACGTCAAGGGGTATTGTGTGTTATCCAATGACTGCCACATCCAGATTTTGGATGTGTCACACGATTTGCTGAATGGATTTGTGTCAGGCCTTCCTTTCTCTTCTCCCCCTCCCCCCTCCCCCATCTAAAATCTCCTCTCCCCTAACCCCGTAGGAAGGCCTGATACTCAGGCTAGTTTACAAGACGATATTTGCATTTCCAGGTTAAATATACGCCGCTAAAAGACACAGATGGAAAGGGAAAGTTTAAAAGAATGCTTAGTTTTTTTCTGTTGGACAAAGGGAGGCTTTTTTTTTACAAAATTGTCCTTCGAGGAATTCGAATTTCAGTAGATTTCCGTCATCGGAGCGCTTGGCCTGTTTTGAAACGCAACCAAGCAGCGAAGTTTTTGAAGAATTTTCAGATACAAATTGTACTCTTTAGTCAAGAAAATAACGTTTTTAAAAAGAGAATTATGTATTAGTAAATATTTGATCTTAGACGTTTTGTACATTTTGAGATCGGCTTGAGCGCCCTGATTTGAGATTTGTGTTGAATAATTTTTGCCATGTGCTCAGCCGATTTTACTTGCGTGAACGGATCCATGAGCCGTGTTTGTGTTACGCGAATTGCTTTCAAGGATTAATTTATGAGTTTTTAAATAAAGTTTTTCCAGAAATAATTTCTCCGTTAGCTCAAAACACGACCCTGAGACTACAACATCCAAGTTGAATTTTTAACTTCTCGCGTTACACGCATCACTTCTGCGAACGTCGGTGAATATAATAGGATTTTTACTTTTAGGTTCATTTTTTTGGCACTTTTCAGTACAAAGCTAATTTAATGAATTTTATTTGAAAGTATGTTCGGTTTTTCTAATTATTTAAGATGTGCGTTCTAAGTTTACTACAAAGAGGGTCACTAAAGTATCGTTTTTACTTTGAAAATTCGCACGGTCGGTTAAAACTATGGGTCAAGAGTCAGGTAGGAGCAACAATTCAGAAATCAATCTTCACAGGACTATGAATAACATTCAGATGACCTTCAAAGCCGGTCGGCAAAAGTCGATCCCGCAAATATCCACGAGGGTTTGAAAAAACCATCATCGACAACATCTTGAAGTCTCTTGAATTTCAAAAAGCAACACACGCATGCGCATTCTGTTTTTGTCTAGGCGTTTCCTGCTCGTTCGCCTCGGATACGTCACCTAAGTGAATTGACCGAGAGGGACTGGGAAAACGCCGTACAGGGACTAGGCAAGACGACAACGATGACAATGGTGATGATGATGACGATGAAGACAATGCTGACGATGACGATGATGATTAAAGAAGGGTGATGATAAAATACTAAAGGGAAGAGGACGTTCAATGATTGCACACTTGATCACGCGTAAGTAGCAACCTGTGATCAGGCGTCGCAGGTTACATATAGATCCCGTGATGAGCATTTCACCCTATTTACCGGGTATACATGAATTAGCGCACTATTTAATATTTTTTTTGTTGTTCTCACTTACTTGACTGAGTTAACACGGATCTGTTTCGACGCAAGTTCTGCAACATGATAAATGCAAATTAACTGGCTGCAAAAATCAACCTTCAGGATGGAACCCTGACTTTCATAATCGGGTTGGGTTAAACAGTAATTCACACAGGGTACCCATAGGTTAATATAAAAAGACAGCAAGAGACAAACGATACATCATCTCTCTTGTCTAAGAGGTACCTTGCACATGAAACTCAGACAGCCACATCAACCAAGCATTGCCCGCGAATTAGGGACGTTTCGCCCGAACTCAAGTCGACTCGCCCGATGACATAGGATACTCTACAAACCGAGTAGGATTTCACATGTACAGCCCCTGTGTTTACGCTTGATCCTTTTTTCAGGCTTAAAGAACGAAAATACCCATCGGGCGAATCGACGTAAGTCCATGCGAACTGACCTTGAGCAAAACGATCCGATACAGTTCCGGCAAGCAGAGACAGTTCTTTCGTCCTTGTTAGAGCTTAAGTCAATGTTTATACATGAAGTTTGCTTTGGTTACTCCACTAAAGTGGCCTACGTACCGAGAGCAGCACATCTCGTGAGCTGATCAACTGCACTTTTCGACATACAGTAGGCGAGCACGCCAGGAAACTGTCAAAACAATACGGAGAACCATCAGTGACAAATGTGTAAACAGCCAACATTCGCGGTGTCACCTCTGGTTTCCCCGCGAAATGACGTGTGAGGAACGACTGCAGAAATTTCATACTGATGACACGTCACTACCCAGATCTAGGTAGTGCTTCTGATTGGTTAAGGCAAATTTCCCTTGGGGCACGACCAACCAATCTTTAAGGCCGATAAACACGAGGGGTTTTGTTCCCGAAGCATGCTCCAGGCTCATTTTGCACGTCTCAGTACACACTAGGGAGCGTTTTCAAGTTCGCTCAGTTTGCCCCGGGAGCTTGCTGCCAAATATTTAACCGGTTAAATATCGTGGAGCATTTTGCGGGGTGGAAATTCTGCCCCCCGAGGATGAAGTATACCCATGAACTCGTTGATACACACGGAGGAGCTTTGCTCCCGGAGCGTGCCCCTGAAGCATGCTCCAGGAGCAAAATCCCTCGAGTGTATCGGCCCTTACAGTGACACATCATCAGATGTTATTTCGAGGAGAAACCAGTAATCAGTTCCGCTGTCTTCTCAGGCTATAGTTAGACAGCCTAGGGGCTTAAGGATTAATACTTGAGAAGAGAAGCAAGACTGAATTTATGTGATTGATGAGCCTAAGCCTTGCGTTTAAAAATAACAGGGAAACAACCAGCCTACGGAAAGTTTATGTTAATAAACACTAAAGACATCGAAATACTTCGTATGACAATAAAATGTAACATATTTCATTGAATTACGATGGTAAACTTACCGATCTCATGCCATTAACACTAGAAACATTCACAACGCACCCTAAAGCAAAAAATATATATATTACATATTAATAATATTGCATTGGTTTTAAAAATTAGAGAAATGAAATTTAATGCGAGAGAGAATTTAGCTTCTTGGTCTTTGGCATATGTAAATTTTCATTTAGCTCTGTCGTGATTAATAATATTGACTAACGATCTGAAAAAATGAGAAGCAAGTTCTATTTTTGCAATCAATACTGCAACGAAAACGTTGCAAGGTAAGTTCAATCTAGGACGTTCCAACAAGTAAAGGAGAACTTGCTCTGGTAAATTAGAAAAATTGGGAGATTTTTGCTTGACGAAGTAATAAAAAAGGCTAAGTTTTCTCATTTACGCGCCCAACTTTGTAACGCTGAGGCCTGCGTGTTATTTTGGCAGATATAGTGTACAGGTAGTATGCTTCAACATTTTGGATATTGTGCAACTTGTATGGTTGACATAACAAAACACTGGATGAGGTCTGACTTAAAATTCTTCTAAAGTTTAATCTAGCTGCATACCAGCATCTAACTGTTTAATTAACATGACGATTGCAAATTTGGATGTGGAGCTGGGAAAAGCGTAAATTGCACCCTTAACTATCCATTCTAAAGCCAAAAAAGTCACCAAACAAAGACCTCGCACTTCATGGGCATTTAAAAGCATCTTTATAATTGTTTTCCTTACAATCATTGCTGAGCCAAAAAAAACTACCAACGCGCAGGTATTCAAAAGATGCCCTGACTGTACATGTACCGTATTTATTCGATTAACCACCCTGGACGCTTATTAAATTTTTGGACCTTGAGAGTGGGCGCTTATTTGAGGTGGGCGGTTATTCGAGGTTGGGCGATTATTAAATTTTCACCACTTTCAGCAAGTGTAGTATGTTTATTTTGCAACAAAACAGTAAAAGGTAATAACAAAACGCGAAGAAGTAACAAAGCAAGATTTCTGTAAAATACTCTGAAGAAAAAGCAAAAGTCGATCCCGCAAATATCCACGAGGGTTTGAAAAAACCATCATCGACAACATCTTGAAGTCTCTTGAATTTCAAAAAGCAACACACGCATGCGCATTCTGTTTTTGTCTAGGCGTTTCCTGCTCGTTCGCCTCGGATACGTCACCTAAGTGAATTGACCGAGAGGGACTGGGAAAACGCCGTACAGGGACTAGGCAAGACGACAACGATGACAATGGTGATGATGATGACGATGAAGACAATGCTGACGATGACGATGATGATTAAAGAAGGGTGATGATAAAATACTAAAGGGAAGAGGACGTTCAATGATTGCACACTTGATCACGCGTAAGTAGCAACCTGTGATCAGGCGTCGCAGGTTACATATAGATCCCGTGATGAGCATTTCACCCTATTTACCGGGTATACATGAATTAGCGCACTATTTAATATTTTTTTTGTTGTTCTCACTTACTTGACTGAGTTAACACGGATCTGTTTCGACGCAAGTTCTGCAACATGATAAATGCAAATTAACTGGCTGCAAAAATCAACCTTCAGGATGGAACCCTGACTTTCATAATCGGGTTGGGTTAAACAGTAATTCACACAGGGTACCCATAGGTTAATATAAAAAGACAGCAAGAGACAAACGATACATCATCTCTCTTGTCTAAGAGGTACCTTGCACATGAAACTCAGACAGCCACATCAACCAAGCATTGCCCGCGAATTAGGGACGTTTCGCCCGACGACGTTTCGCCCGAACTCAAGTCGACTCGCCCGATGACATAGGATACTCTACAAACCGAGTAGGATTTCACATGTACAGCCCCTGTGTTTACGCTTGATCCTTTTTTCAGGCTTAAAGAACGAAAATACCCATCGGGCGAATCGACGTAAGTCCATGCGAACTGACCTTGAGCAAAACGATCCGATACAGTTCCGGCAAGCAGAGACAGTTCTTTCGTCCTTGTTAGAGCTTAAGTCAATGTTTATACATGAAGTCTGCTTTGGTTACTCCACTAAAGTGGCCTACGTACCGAGAGCAGCACATCTCGTGAGCTGATCAACTGCACTTTTCGACATACAGTAGGCGAGCACGCCAGGAAACTGTCAAAACAATACGGAGAACCATCAGTGACAAATGTGTAAACAGCCAACAGTCGCGGTGTCACCTCTGGTTTCCCCGCGAAATGACGTGTGAGGAACGACTGCAGAAATTTCATACTGATGACACGTCACTACCCAGATCTAGATAGTGCTTCTGATTGGTTAAGGCAAATTTCCCTTGGGGCACGACCAACCAATCTTTAAGGCCGATAAACACGAGGGGTTTTGTTCCCGAAGCATGCTCCAGGCTCATTTTGCACGTCTCAGTACACACTAGGGAGCGTTTTCAAGTTCGCTCAGTTTGCCCCGGGAGCTTGCTGCCAAATATTTAACCGGTTAAATATCGTGGAGCATTTTGCGGGGTGGAAATTCTGCCCCCCGAGGATGAAGTATACCCATGAACTCGTTGATACACACGGAGGAGCTTTGCTCCCGGTGCGTGCCCCTGAAGCATGCTCCAGGAGCAAAATCCCTCGAGTGTATCGGCCCTTACAGTGACACATCATCAGATGTTATTTCGAGGAGAAACCAGTAATCAGTTCCGCTGTCTTCTCAGGCTATAGTTAGACAGCCTAGGGGCTTAAGGATTAATACTTGAGAAGAGAAGCAAGACTGAATTTATGTGATTGATGAGCCTAAGCCTTGCGTTTAAAATAACAGGGAAACAACCAGCCTACGGAAAGTTTATGTTAATAAACACTAAAGACATCGAAATACTTCGTATGACAATAAAATGTAACATATTTCATTGAATTACGATGGTAAACTTACCGATCTCATGCCATTAACACTAGAAACATTCACAACGCACCCTAAAGCAAAAAATATATATATTACATATTAATAATATTGCATTGGTTTTAAAAATTAGAGAAATGAAATTTAATGCGAGAGAGAATTTAGCTTCTTGGTCTTTGGCATATGTAAATTTTCATTTAGCTCTGTCGTGATTAATAATATTGACTAACGATCTGAAAAAATGAGAAGCAAGTTCTATTTTTGCAATCAATACTGCAACGAAAACGTTGCAAGGTAAGTTCAATCTAGGACGTTCCAACAAGTAAAGGAGAACTTGCTCTGGTAAATTAGAAAAATTGGGAGATTTTTGCTTGACGAAGTAATAAAAAGGCTAAGTTTTCTCATTTACGCGCCCAACTTTGTAACGCTGAGGCCTGCGTGTTATTTTGGCAGATATAGTGTACAGGTAGTATGCTTCAACATTTTGGATATTGTGCAACTTGTATGGTTGACATAACAAAACACTGGATGAGGTCTGACTTAAAATTCTTCTAAAGTTTAATCTAGCTGCATACCAGCATCTAACTGTTTAATTAACATGACGATTGCAAATTTGGATGTGGAGCTGGGAAAAGCGTAAATTGCACCCTTAACTATCCATTCTAAAGCCAAAAAGTCACCAAACAAAGACCTCGCACTTCATGGGCATTTAAAAGCATCTTTATAATTGTTTTCCTTACAATCATTGCTGAGCCAAAAAAAACTACCAACGCGCAGGTATTCAAAAGATGCCCTGACTGTACATGTACCGTATTTATTCGATTAACCACCCTGGACGCTTATTAAATTTTTGGACCTTGAGAGTGGGCGCTTATTTGAGGTGGGCGGTTATTCGAGGTTGGGCGATTATTAAATTTTCACCACTTTCAGCAAGTGTAGTATGTTTACTTTGCAACAAAACAGTAAAAGGTAATAACAAAACGCGAAGAAGTAACAAAGCAAGATTTCTGTAAAATACTCTGAAGAAAACGCCGTCTTCGGGGAAGTCTCTTATAAGTACTTATTCAATTTCAATTTCAATCTCATAGTCACTCAAGTGGGTGGGGTGAGGGTGGGCGCTTATTTGAGTTTAGTAAGGAGGGGAGGGGGTGGGGTGAGCGCTTATTCGAGGCTGGGTGCTTATTAACTTTTTCTGCCTCTAGGATGGGCACTTATTCGAGGTGGGCGCTAATTCGAGGTTGGGTGCTTATTCGAATAAATACGGTATAGTACTACAGTATGTATAGTATCTTATTAATAAGTACATTCGCAGGCCCTTAATTTTGTGTTTTTCGCGACAGTAAAAAAATAAAAAATTAACGATGTGCGAATAAAAATCCTCACGAAATTTAAACACGCGACATGTAATATACGTGAACATTATATGTAAATGCAAAGGGTAGAGGTAGAGAATCTGTGTGTTAAAAATAGCTTGTTCCATTTCATCCTAAATTTGAATATTAAGTTCTGACTTTATGAAAGATAAAATGAAAGTGAGAATGCTTGAATCGTGAAGATTAATGCCCTTTTTTCAGATTTGCCTATTGAAATCATCAAAATAAATCAACGTGAAATACTGTATCGCCAAAATCCCAAAAATTAGTACCAATAAGGTATTTCACAATTATTCCTCGAGCACGAATGGGCTCTGAATCAATAGCCCATGAGGCCATAGCCCAAATGGGCTATTGACTCAGAGGCCATGAGGGTGAGAGGAATAATTGTTTTAGTAAAATCCATCTAGTTTGTCAAAAATATCGAGACAAAACAACTTTAGCTAGCAAAGTGCAGTTCAGCCATAATTATTTTGGTATTCAAAGCCTGCGCTTTTCACTACTAGTGGGCTATAACATATAGCCTAGTAGTAGCACAACCAATCAGAATTAATGCAGCATTGATAATAGACCACTAGTAGGATTTTACTAAATGGTGTCAGTTTTGTTTCGTAAGATATTCTCACGCAGCTCAGTATCTAAGTATCTCTGATGACATAGAGTGTGTTACCTTTTGTTTCTGTCAGATAGGGTACAGCTAAGGATGTCAGGTAAAAAACTGCCCTGTGAATCGGAACATAAACAATATGATAATATCATAATAAACACTAGAGTACAAAAATTTATGTAAAAGCCAAACTGTACATGCAACTGGTTTTCCAGTTCCCACAAACATATTTCGCGACCAAAATGAACTCAGAAACACTTAAAATACTATTCTCTTTTCTGGCTATTTCAATGGCTACTTTCTTTGACTCAAAGTCATTCCACAATTTGACCTCTTCATACTTCTTTCAACCTCTCTACAACAACCACATCACCTCAGCAGGCTACAGCAATGGTCAAGTGCTACACTAGTGTAACCTTGATAAAACAAAGGGTTAAGGGCCTAGCAAATTATGTTCAAGCTAAGTTTAAAAGTTTTTGGTCCTAAATGTCACCATTAACAAACTCTTTCCAATTCGAGTGCTAATCAAACAGCTAAATTACCATGTGCACTGAAAAATAACCAACCCCTTCCCCCTGAAAAAAAAAAAAAACATTCTATCTCGTTCCAATTTTGTCATTAGGTTTCAACAAGGACAGAAGCACATTTTTTCCAATGCACCCTTTACTAGTTTACTTTTTTATAGGAATTTAACTTAATGTACATATCACCTTGTATTTATCCACATTACTTTGATTCCAAGGATGTAGTTTCAATAGTTCCCTTAGCAACGATACCCGCATTATTAACCTGTGGTATAGGAGAAAACATTTAAGCAATAGAAAACGTTTTCATTGTTTGCATAGCCTGATATAAACACGAGAGGGGTTGGGAGAATTCGAGACAGTTATGCAAACCCCAAGATGAAGTCAAGGGTTTGCATAACTGTCTAGAATTTTCCCAACCCCTCGAGAGTTAGTATGCAAAATACAGGAAAAAAATTTTTTATTGCTTTTATTACTTTTTTCTTTGTTCTGAAAATGATTAAAAGAGAAATTCTTACCAGTCGCGAAGTCTTGTACATGAAGTCTTGCTCACGTAACCAGTTCTTGTTTTGCAAAAAAGATGCTTTCCAAAAATATGGATTTTTCTTGCTTAAAATGTCAGCTTAAGCGCAAACAAATTGACACAGCATGTCTCTAAAGATTTTCCTAGTTTCAGCCAACAAGGGAATGGGTAAATAAAGTAAACTTGTCAAGTTTTCAACTAAAAACACACCTCTCGACCAATCAGAGCACGGATGGTATCTTAGATATTTTGTAAATAAAGATGTAAAAATAAATCATTTAAACATTAAGGTAACACGACACATTAACAGAAGATATCATAAACTGAGATGTGGTATTCTGTATCAAAATTTGTTTACATCACCAGTCAGTTACTTTATTCCTTACTGGTGCACCACCTCCCAAGAAAAATCCTGGATCCGCCCCTGGTTTCACATCTGCAAACGGCTAGAACTTCTAGCCTTCTTCACTATTTAAGCCCTAATTAAAGGGTTAAGAATCAGATCAGTAACAAACCTTTTCAGGACAAGGCTGTGCTCTAGCAGAACCCGGTGGCCTATGGTGCCTAACTTTTGTTCTCGTTTGACTAATCATATGCTGGGCACACTGGATTTCACAAGTTCAGAGCACTGGGTTCCCTTCAATTTTTTTTAGAGCACAGCCTTCCGAACAACAACAGATTGGCGATGATAATTAAGGACATGATTGCACAAGACAATTAACTTTTCCTCAATACTTTTATAGGAAATGCATCATGGGAACAAATGAGTCAGAATGAATATATATTACATCAAATTCAGTTTAATATTTTGGGTAATAGTTGCTTATACAAAAATTATAACATTGAAAGGAAAGTTACTTAAAGGATTGGGTTTGTGCCATCAACAGCAACAACATTGTTCTTACCAAAATATCCAGCTTTCCAAAGTGTTTTATTGTGGCCTCAAGAAGTGCTTTTATATCTTCATCTTTTTCTAAATCACCTTGCACTGGTAAAACCTGACAAAACATAGCACTCTTTCCATTACAAACCACAAAAGACTCCCAAAAGATGTAATCTTGTATTATGGCTGGGGATTCAAATGAATTATCTAAGTACTTAAAAAATAAATCAATCCAATTAAAATAAATCAAATGAATTTTTTTGAGTACATGTCTATACATGTATAACTCGAACTACCAATAACTGAGGGTCCACAGTCGGTTTGACGGGATGCAGGGTTTGACTATTTTTTGTGGTGATACTTGGGATGCAAGCTAAAAACAGGAGCGGGAAGAGGGAATTCAATGACAAGTGGGAGCAGGATTTCCTATAATATTATTTATGGGGTTGGGATGCCAGAATCCTAGGGATAAAATAGCAGGATAAGGGAATTTTAAAGAGGGCTATAAAGTAAGTTTGTGTAGACAAGTGGCGGATCGATTTCCCTAGAACACCTGCTAGATTTAAGAAGGTTTGAATAATTATTGGGAGTCGACTGTGTAGTTCACTACATTAAGAAGAACTTGTACAGAAGCCTTCTTGGTGGGGTGTATGCATATAATATCCCTAGTCTGAATTTCAAAGGGGGTCGGCATTTTCTGCACTGAAAAAAGGGCATGTCACTGTCAGTATTTTATCATTGTATTTGTGAGTGTCACAGCTTCAAACCATCTTCATGTTATTTGCCAACATTTCGTCTGCCTTATGCCTCTGTTTCAAGGCCATGTCGCTTGTTGGAATTTTACCCTAAGGGAGCCTCTTTTCAGTGGTTAAGGTGTTTTTATTTGATGACTTGACACCTTTTGGGAGGAAAAAGGTTAATTACCTGAGCATCGCTTCTGGCCTCTTTGCACTTAGCTGCCACATTATCAAGTTCAGTTTTGTTTCTCCCTCCAAAAGCAACACTGCAACCAAGTTTAGACAACAAAAGAACTGCACCTCGGCCAATACCAGAACTTCCTCCTAAAACATTTTTATTAGTAAGTTCTATGGTTAAAACATACGATTTAAAACTGATCTTTCGAATAAAGGAATATAATTCAATAATAATCCTTAGCCTATAGCTATATCCCCCCACCCCACCCTGCGTATGTTTAAACATAGCTGTAAGGTGGCAAGTCCCTCAATCCCATGAAATTTCTACTTTCTGATAACAAATGATCACTCTTAGAAAAGAGAGGAAGAAAAAAGGAGCCACACAATATTCACCTACAACCAAAAAGCATTAGCTAATACCTGTTATCAAGGCAACTTTACCAGAAAACGACCTCTCTTGGGCAGTCATGATGATTGTTCAAGCACGTGGATGACACATAGGGTTGCTTATATGAAGTAGTAGCTAGGTATCCGCGCCTGGTAGAGTACGCCTGGAAGCTGTTGGACACAGAACCCGCTAAAATGCCACAATACGAGCTGTCATTGATAACAAGAATTTTATCGAAGGTGAGAATTACAGATAGAATTCGAAGCTATCAGGGTGTTTACGTCAATTACCATACAGCTAGAAGTACTCGTTACATCAAAAGTCAGAGTCTTCCCTGACCCTGTGGTTTCCCTTTCCAACTTGTCTAGGAAGATCGGATCGGCTCATCCTCGGTGAAAGAACCTGTGAAACTCACGAGTGACGTAAAGTAAAGGACGCAAAGAAGTCAACACAATAAAACCTAGGAAAACAAAAGGTCAAAAAACTTCACAGGTTCTTACACCGCGGTAAACCAGGAAGATCAAGGAGTTTCTCGGGAGGCACATCCTGCTGAGGACAGAACTTTTTGTACTGCATGATCATGTTGTTGAGCCTCCCGTGAACGGCCACCCAAAATACCAGGAAGAAGAGGAAATATGAGATCTCCAGTTTAATCGCCGAAGTTTGCCATTTCTTCAGCGGACTCGACTTTCCGACATTAAAATTTCACCCCTACAGGGATTTTCACCCAGAAGGTGAAATCTCAAGGAGGCATCCTGGTAGCTCACAAGTATATTGTAGAAAAGTATGTTCTTACAGTTGAAGTATACAATCAGTATGCCAGAAAAACTCTCAATTTGCTTGATCAGGGGCTGCATAAAATTGTTGGGTATTGATAACGTTTCTCCTGTTCACGCCTACAAGTACGGGGTGACGTAAAACAGAAAATCCCCGGAGGGACCACTTAGGTTGATTTTGGGCCAGTGTGTTATTGTACAGTCATACTTTTTTGCGGTAGCATGTTATCAGTGACATTCTGTGAAGAAAGTTATGGACAAAAAGACACTTGTTACGTGCAGATGAAGTTATAAGGTGTGTGTAACTGAGTATGTATACACCGTATTCACAAATGGCAGACACGCGGGAAAAAACTGGTGCCTAGTCATGAAAGCGAGGCGTTGGAGGATAAACAACAATTGCAAATGAAGACTTTCAGTGAACTTGCAGAGTGTTTAGCACGGATTCCACCTAAAATAACTTTGTACGGACTTCTTTTTAAATACAATTACGTGCGATGTCTTCTACTTTTAATGTTTAGCAGTGATTTGCTGTTTGCAATCAAAAGGGACGCGTATATCTTTAAGTAAACAGGATGATTTTGTAGGTATCCGAAGCATTAGAAGCTCGACAAGTGGGCGATCGCCGGAGAAAAGCGGCAAAATGTTGGCCCAAACTTCACATTGAAGCCGAGTGCAAAAGCCAGCTCACTGCAATTCGGTGAAACAGAAATATAAACAAATCTTGGTGGCAAGAAAAAAAAGAAATAAGCGACAGATATATGGCCTACTTGTTAACGCAAGAGATGTCTGCCGTTGAACTGAAACACAGTGAGTTCAAGTCGAGATGGAAAAAAGGAAGAAAGGACAGAAGAGGTGACTGAGGTTTCGATGAAGTTATGTTTGGTTTTTGTTTGCCAGGACGTTATTCTATGGTCTTTATCAATAAAGGACATCAATTAGAACTATTTTTTAAGTATAAATGCAGGAGCGATCGAGTGGAGTACGCTCAAAATTTCAACATGTTACGCGGCAGACTCGGTAAGCCGGCCACATATCATTTCAGCGAGTAATTTCGTATTTCTTATCTTTGGCTGTCAAGAGTTTTACTTAATGTTTCATAATATTTTAAAGTTGAAGAATACATAAATAAATAAAATGATGGTCTTCTTAAACGGATCCAGACTTGAATCAGAAGCTTGCCGTGTTCATTCCTGACACAAACGTTGCCTTAAAAGTTTAACCTAGTAAAATGTAAGCTTTATTCTACTTTTTTACCAAGAGCTCTCTGAGATAATGCCCTAAAGGAGACCAGGCAAATAGCAAGCCATAAGATTCACACAGTACAGCTTCTAATTTTAATAAAATTATTTTTAATTATTTCGCAATGACAAAGAAATCATGAGATTTTTTACTAAGCTCTGCCAACGTACCTCAGTGACAATTCACTCCAAAGCGACGGAATTAATATGATCCAAAGGAAGTTGTAAATGCAGACAAACATATATACATAGATATGTATAAAATGACACTGACATGAATAAATGAGCCTTGTGAATGAATCTTTCACCCGCTCTCGACTTGACCTGTTTTGTGTAATGGCGGAGGTCTCTTCCGTTAACAAGTAGGCCATATATCCGTCGCTTATTTCTCTTTTTCTCGCCACCAATATCTGTTTTTAATCCGTTTTACAGAATTGTAGTGATCTGGCTTTCGTACTCGGATTCAATGTGAAGTTTGGGCCAACATTTTGCCGCTTTTCTCCGGCGATCGCCCACTTGTCGAGCTTCTGATGCTTCGGATACCTACAAAATCATCCTGTTTCCTTGAAGATATACGCGTCCCTTTTGATTGCAAACAGAAAATCACTACTAAATATTAAAGGCAGAAGACATCCCACGTAATTGTATTTAAAAAGAAGTCCTGACAAAGTTATTTTAGGTGGAATCCGCGCTTGACACTGTGCAAGTTCACTGAAAGTCTTCATTTGCAATTTTTGTTTATCCTCCAACGCCTCGCTTTCATGACTAGGCACCAGTTTTTTCCCGCGTGTCCGCCATTTGTGAATACGGTGTATATATGAACACTTGGAGAGTTTGCCAGACACGAGTATCATTCACAAATCTTTTGTTGGAAACAATTTGCCAGACACTCTTTCTCTCTCTTTGGGGGAATAATACACAAAAAAGCAAGATGAGTGAATCAATGGCTAGCGTATCACTAGCAGAACTGTGGACTATTACAGAAATTCACCGACAATTAAATTCTGTGCTGACATTATTCCCTGCTCACAGATGTCCTTCTGTAAAGTTTTTTTAAAAGTATTGTTAATAGTTTAAAAAATGACTAGAACGCACAAGCATGAATTGATCAAACCTTTTAATTTCTAAGGCTTACTTTCCAGCTATTAAAACGAACTGTATGCAAAAACTGAAAGAGAATTAGTGAAAAATTCCAACTTCTTCTTCTGTGTAAATCAACTGAATCAGTACATGGAACCTTGCTTTTGCTGTTTTCATCTTACCTATTGTATGGAATATGTGTGAAAATCTTTATTATGAATCGGTATATTTCAAAGAGCTACACCACGACCAAGAATACAGTTGACTGACAACATACAGAGTGGGGGCAGCTGTAGTGTCAACTGTTACTAGTGTTAACATTGAACATTTCCTTATAAACTTTGGTATGCCCTTGTAATATAACAATGTGATTGGTGGAAAGTAAACCAATTGGGTCAAATGACACAGAGGCAACATCGTTTTCACGTGTTTTGTGATTCACAAATTCGTGATAATCAGAGTCAACGAGTGTTTTTTGCACAAAATAATGACATCATGTGTCATGCGTTATGACATCATCTACATTATACCTCCCTATCAATTCTCAATATATTTGAAGTCACGGGGGGTTGACAGCCATGTCAACTCTTCTGAAAGCAAAAGCATGTAAATGTACATACATGTACTTGTCAGACTTTGTAAAGCCACAACAAAGACCCAAAGAGCTTTTGATTTCAAGCCTGTGCTGTGGGAATAGGCTGATTTTTTTTTAAACAGAATAGCTTAAGCTGTTTGATCAGATGACAATTTTTTTGAACATGTAGGGCTTAAGCTGTTTGATTGGCTGACAATATTTTCATCCTTTATTAAATTGTCTGATTTGTTTCTTAAAGGAAATGTGAGAAACTCTTTATGGATGTTGGGGCTTAAAGGATTAAAGGGGGTTTTTCAAGACTTAAATGTTGTGCTTTTTTGACAGGAGGGATTTGCCTCTGTTCTTCGTCAGACAGCTCTATCTATTATGGACAAAGGGGGAGTAGTAAGAAAAATGGAAAACCTAGGAGAGCAAGAACTTCCCCACAGAATGAGAGCACATACTGAATGGCATACACATGGCAGGTATGTTGGTAGCCATTAATAAAGTACAATGTGAAAAGAAATTATTAAGTTACAGTGGAACCTCAATTTAATGTTCAAACCTCAACATGTATATAACCAAGAGCCCATATCCTGGAGTGAGCAACTCCCTTGTGCTCATGCAACAGCATTTTCACAGACCAGTTTATTTTTAGATCAATTTCCCACAAATTTTGATTTCATGTATCAAATAAGCCTTACAAATCAATCAGCAAAAACTGGAGACTAAAAAATGTATTTCTGATGTTTTGACAGACGTGAGTATTTGCTCTTTCTTTTTGGTGTAGGTATTTTCGTACTATTGATGGGCACAAATATGAAAAGGTGCTTCTGTTTTAATGAGAAAAGTACTCCAAACTGATGCTAAAAATAAACTGATCTGTAAAAACACTGTTGCATGGGCCAAGCATGAGAGTTGCATGCTCCAGGTTATGGGCTCCTGACAGGCGCAGATCTAAGATAAGTCCCCTTTCTTGGGTTTCTGAGTCCTTAAGACAGGTTATTGGCCAGTTCCTTTCTCCTTGCAAATCGGCAGATCATTTCGTCAAGGCCAGATATGAAGCAAGATTTCAACGTGGGAAGTATTTTTATTATTAAAAATATTATATTCATTAAGTAAAATTTGACCAATTTCCATAAAAATGGCGGAAACAAGTGTGGATCCGCACCTGCCTGATATAACAAACTCCTTGGTATGACATTATTTTGAACAATATTCCTAGCCCAAGAAATAGTAATGTGGAAAAGAACCTTGATATAATGAAACCTACTTATAGCAGGCATATTTGGTCAGTCCCTTGACCCTTCATTATATCAAGGTTCCTGCTGAGAATATATTATCAGCAGTGTTAGTACAACTTTTAAATTATGATAAAATTAAACCCCCCCTGGCTGAACTTGTTCATACTATTATTCATTTCTTAGGATTTTACAAAAAGAAATTAGAATTCTTTAGTGAACTTATCTTTGGCCACTGTTAGGAAAGGGTTATGCACAGGCACTCCACCTACCCTCAGTCCCAAGAAGAAGAGAAAATCCTGGGAATGAGGTTGATAATTCACTTTCCTTGACTTTAGCCTCTGCATAGTTACTATCTTGGCCTGTGTAGCAAGTGTTTCTGTGCGAGTTCGTAGCGTGATAAAAGTGCTCTTGTTTTCAATGTTCTGCTGAAAAAACTTATGTAGAAATGTTTGCTGCGGCAAGATATTATTATTATTATTATTATTATTATTATTATTATTATTATTATTATTACTATTACTATTACTATTATGGCGTTTTCTCCGATGAATGCTCCATGTTCTTAGACATGATGAATAACATTGGCATTGATAAAACGCAGCAACTTTATATAATCAAGAAAAGTTTTCTTATCATTTAATGATAAATATAGCCTTTGTTAGAGCAACATATTACATCTTTTGTTGTAGAAATAGGAATTGGGATAGCCCAGACTTAATGCAGTTGGGTTTTTTTCTTTTCTTTTCTTTTTTCTTCCTTTCTTTTCTTTTTTGAATAATCCAATCTCAATCTGCATTTGTAAATTGCATATACGTAGCGAGATTTACAATTGTACATTCAAAAACACAATAAAGTTTCTATTATTATTGAATTCTTATCATTATCTTGATATAGGAAAACCTTAATAATATGTTCTTGTCGATATTTATTTTCTTTAGATACTTCTTGATGCACTTTGACTTAGGAAGGAACTGAAGCATGAGTTAGGCACAGACACTGATCTTATACGGCCACGTATCATCAGAGTAAAAGGCCGTTATGATTCCTTGAAACACAGACATTCCTTGTTAGAATGCTGGGAGAGTTATAAGCCTCCAAGTAGCTTTCAGCCAAGATGATAATAAGGAATGGAAAAGACATTTCGTGCATTTTTCATTTGTACTTG